ACGCATTCGAGATATTCATCGCTGAGTCTTAAAAATCTTTCGCATCCTGGAACAGGAGTCGAATATAATCGAGATCCGAACTTTCTAAAAGGTTTCGATTCACCAATTTGTATCGTTATTTTCATTGCTGCAACGTTAAATTATTATTACATTTCTAATTTATAAGATTAATATAACATTGTACAATTTTAAATATAGTAAAAAGCTTTACAATTTTTTGTAATAAGAAATATTAGTCCATGTTAACGCTTTTCTTGTCAAACAAACCCTTTTATTTCACAAACAACTGTCTAATTGTCACAACTGCTGATTATTAGACTGCAATTTATAAAATAAAAGTGTTTGACATGGCAAGCATTGATAATTTGTTACAGAAAAATTAGTAAATTTAGTGCTACAACGTAGTTTCTTAAATGAAAATCGATAGTAAAATGTTTAAACGAGTGACTAAATAATGTGTACTATTCATCGCATCGAAAGTTTACAAAAAGAAATTTTAATAAATTTCAGTTGAAGCTTTAACTTCAAACTTATTTCCACATAAAAATACAATCAATATAATGAATCAAATATATAATATATTTAAATGACAAAAGGCGCACAGAACAATTTTATTATCGCCTAAATTTTTACCTTGACTATAATGCATTGTATAGTCCGTTAATAATATTTTTTAACCAAATATCTGATTTTCACAGAATTTAGGATGTTATTTATTTTTCTATAACAGGTTTTTAAAAAAGATATACGATGATTTTATAGAATTCGATAAAAAAAATTTGTTATCTCCTGATGATAAAAAATCAAATATAAATTTTGTTGTAATAGATCTGCAATATGCTTCCTGCCGACTATTAGAATATTTAAATGACTATAAAATGCTCTTTTAGTTTAATATATTTATGTTATATAATTTCTTTATATTATACAAATATTAAATATCCAAATGAAATTTTCGAAACAAAAAAAAATTCTCTACTTACCATCTATAAGTCTCAAGACATCTTGTGGATGAGATAAATAATTCGGTTGGATAACAGGATGATCGTAGGGATTAGTGCTTCTGAGTTTTACATAACCTCGACTTTTTGGATGAATTAAAGTAGGATATATGGTGAAAACATCCCGATTTAAAATAGGCCCATAATATAATTTTCTAACCTAAATCCGAAAAGAAATATTTAATTTAAAAATTAATAGACTAATAGTTGAAAAAGTATCATACGGTGGTCGAATGACGAAAACTGCAAAACAACAACCTTACACCATAAACAGTACTGTACATAAATATTTATGGGTAGATTAAACAAGATAAAGCGAGTTCCAATCAGGTCTAAAATAATAGCGATAGAATAGTCAAAGGATCATTATTCTGTTGCTGTTATTTTCTCACTGTCACTCTTTCTTGTCGGAATCGTGCTTCGTTCTGCATCTTAATCTATACGACCTATAAGCTATTGATCGTCATTGGTATGGTTACTGAATAAATATGTAGTAAGACGAATAATATTACTAATTATAACTGAATATTCGTAAACATTTGTTACTGAATAAATGTAAAGACGATATTATCTATATTATGGCGTGGAAAAAAGTTAGAACACTACTTATAGTGCTGTCGTAAATCCGGAAAGACTCGTGACTTAAACTTTAATAATTAAACAGAAATAATATTTTATAAAACACGTTAAGAAAAACCCATTTATATTTAATGAAAAAAAAAATTCCAGTAACGAGTTGCATAACTTTCCCGGAAAAAAATGTTGAAATCGTTGTGACGCCATATGTTAGAGGTTTTATTTTAAAAGTTTTTATATTATTAATTACTATAAAATGGCAAAAAATAATCTTAAATTTCAGGAAAAGGATGGGTTTTATTCAAAAGGTAATGGTAAATATCAATAAAATGTAAATTCTTCATTTAAAGTCTGCAAGTCGCCCTTCTATCTTTCTACCCCTTGACCTTTAATCACCAAAATTTAATAGAATCAATCCTCTTAATACGCAAACCTACCTCTAAAATTTCAGAAATTTTCAACAAAAGTTATTAAGCTTCAAAGTGGGTGAACAAAATCAGGCTCCAACACAAACTAATATCCATACATAAAGGAAAACAACATTCAATTTTCTGCCTTTCTCGACATTTTAAAGTCGAGTCCAAAAACGTGAAAATCTCGGGGAAACTTTTTAGACGCCTGTCATAAATTCAACAAGATCTACAACAATGAAATAGTAAAAGACAAAACTCAATACAACTGGAACAACCTACCAATGCAAATTGCTGAGCTAATTTTATCCAATATTTATAATCCAATATTTATAAATACAGTATATATTTTTGGTTAAGAGAAAAACATATGATTCTTATGCGTCTTTACGTCTCTAAAAGTACTTTTAAATATGTGTATGAAATTAACAATAAATATGATTCAATAAATATAAAATAAAATTTCAATACTTGACTTGATTATTTATGCCAAAGGCTGGAATAAAAATTTCTCCTCCATCAGAAGTCAGACTGCCAGTTACAAAATACAGTTCGATATCTGGATAATCATCAGAAGAATTCGCAAAACGGGTATTGATGAAAGCCAAACCTTCGACTCCACCTAATGTGGTCCACGGACCTATAAAAGCGGTTTCTTTATTATATTATTTAAACACTGTTGTCTGTTCAAATAAACATATCAATAAAAGTCTTACCAGAACCATATTTGAAATAACGTAGAGCATTGAATGGAGTTAGAACACGGTAGGCGACGATAGCAACTGGTTTGTCAATTAAGAAATCCATTCCAAGAGGAAAAATGTGATCTTGAAGATTAAGGCCTACTGGAAGATCTGACACGACTGGAATCTGTATGATAATAATTAGTTGATAATTTGTTATTCGATAAGACGTACAGATAAGAGCTTACGTGTTAGCTAAAATTAGTAAAAATTGAAAATTACTATTCTATATGTAGTCAGCCAGATGACTGTGCTTACAAATATTAGTGTTTTTACCGTGAGGAATTTCAATAAAGTATTAGATTCTGACTCCTTAAGTTATGATAGATTTAGACTGGGACATGGTCCTCTATGGCTGCGTCATTGTGGCCTATCCCACTGCTTTTTAAATACTTTTGTAATTCGCAATATTGAGACCGGACACTTAGTACTTATACAGTGCGACTGTAAAGTCAATTCGCAGTGGGCGGGAAAACGGGAGGTACTTTCAGGAACAAAGTAATGTTGCCACAAGCAGACCGCGCAAGACCAACGAGAAGGATAGGGCAGGGAGCAATTTTATCACGTGAACAACTTATTTCTGTGCAGAATGTCTCTCGTGCTGTGTTTTTCAATACTTGTATACTCGAATTTCAAAAAATTAATTTAGATTCAGAGAAAAGAAATAATTGCAAGTTTTTATAGCAGTTTCGTTTTAAAAATTTTTTACTGGTTTTATAAGTTTATAACATTATATAATATCTTAAATTAGAAGTTAATTTGTTTGTTTGTTTGTGTATGTATGTGTGTATGAGTGAGTGTGTTTGTGTACAATGTACTTTAAAAAAATATAATTATAAAGTAATAATGGATATAATATATTTAAATGACAAAAGGCGCACAGAACAATTTTATTATCGCCTAAATTTTTACCTTTGACTATAATGCATTGTATAGTCCGTTAATAATATTTTTTAACCAAATATCTGATTTTCACAGAATTTAGATGTTATTTATTTTTCTATAACAGNCTTTATATATTTTATTAAACATAAATAGGAAATATATTTAACGACGATAATATTGAAATAAACAATTATTGGTAACATTTCATTATAAAATTTGATATTCTATTTAGTAAAATACTTTCCTCTTACTTTATGTTTAGACAATATAAATGTTTTTCAAACTAAAAACACGATGAAAGCTCATTAAATATTTATTATTGAACAATTCCGATAACGTTATTACTTCTGTATTGGGCTTTTATGTATTATTAGTATTTTATAATTATAAGATTAAATTATGTAATAATATGAATATAGTTTTCAAAAGTTTAAATTAAAAGAAACACAGAAAAAATTCGAAAATTAGAAACAAAAATTTATTCTCGAAAATCATTTATTTCTTTTGAGAAATTAAAAGTTTTATTTTTACGAATATGCATTCATTATTTTCAAATTAAAATATTATTACTGTAATAATTTCTAATTTTAAAGGAATTATATTAACAAAAAATATTTTTCACGCTATAAAAATATATAACGTTCAGAATTTTTTCATAAGGTGGATATCCTAACAATTTCGCAAAATCGTTTGATCAGGAAAAAATAACAATTTGTCCAACTTGGAAGTGAAATGATATCATTGAACGATCTTATCTTGTACACATCGTTTTGTTACTTTATATTATTGAAAAAACAATACAGGATACTTGGAAAAGTAATTGTAAAACAAAATGTACCATAGTTTATCATTTTATTCGTGTAATTACGATTAAAAGTTCAATTTTTTCTTTAAAAAATTCTATAAGGTAAAAACATTTCTAACTTTCAATGCATGTGATCATAATCCAAAGAATATTCAAGAAATAGTTAATAAAATTTGCGGTATAATCAACAATAGTTATCAAAAGCACATATAAAAATCTGTCAGAATTTGCAACGACAGTTTAAGTTGAGATATGTCCATCTTGACATATAACGTTTGTCTAGCATTTAATGGCAGCTTTTTGTACAGCATCAACATTTCAATGCATTATAAACAATTGTGAGAATCTGGAAATTCAGGCGAGGGTCATTTTGAAAATTAACGAAGTAGAGGAAAAGAATTATAAAATTAAGAGAAAATAATATTTTTAAACTTTAACAAATTTTACAAAAAAGGATGAAACTTTCGATTTTGAAAGGAAGTTGATTTCCTTTTCCAGGCCGACTCATGATGAGTCGCATGAGTTTTGCACACGTTACTAGAGAGCAAATAAAAGGAACGATTTCCCGCCATTCGAGGTTGCTACACGAAAAGAGCTCGCCATAAGATAAAGGTAGTCATCATACAAAGTGTATGTCATACAAGTCCGTTATACGAATCAGTTAAATAAAATAATTTTTATTATTGTTATTGCTATATAAATATATAGCAATAAACGAAGTATACGACAAGATTGTTAAAAGAGAAGTTATTTAAAGGACTTTCCAAAGAAACTGTTAGAAGAAGAATACCCAGAATTGAAGAAGACCCTCATACAAAGAAATATTCGAAAGACCCAGCGAAGGTAATATGATCAGAGATAGATTGATGTGAACTCTCTCTCACGCGTCAGGTTTAGAATAAGATTAGGTTAAGTTAGTAGAATAGTTTAGGTTTAGGTTCATTCTTTTGTATACAGTACTTTTATCTTTTGATTTATTAAATATTTTGTTTAAGTTATCATTATAAAAATGGTTTGGTTAATATTGATTATTCATACTCATTCATATTTAAATTTCCTACGCTCCTCCTACTCACGAGTTAGAGATAACGAGTAGGGGAAATACGGACAAAATCACATATACGTACAAAATGACATAGGCAGCATAATTCGAATTTGGCGGTCTCAAGCTCGCAACTGACCATGACACCACGTAATCCAAGCGGCTCTTACTAACCTGTCAAAATGTGAACGCACTCCTCTCATTCGCCCGGATGTCATGGCCGACAACAAGAAATGATACGTTATGAGTTTTTTCCTCGCAACAAGTTTTTTGTATACATGGTAATTTTTTCACTATTTTATCTATTTGTATAACATTTATTTCAACCCTCAAGAATTTGTTGTTCCACTTAAATAACTTTTTTCATTAAAAATAACATCTTTGTATTTATTTTATAATTTTGTTTTTTTTATAACGTTATATGGACAAAACGACATACATAGGCAACGGACATAATGACATACCTGTCATTTAGTCCATAAGAGCTTAGTCAAGGAACTTACCTTAATCTCTTAACGTTTTATTAATTATCAAAAATGTCTTCTAAACAAAGTCTTTCATTATTGTTTAAAAAAATTTTAGTATAAAACTTTATTTCCTTTCTTACGTATTATTTACAAACTTATTATCTTTCACATAACAAAAAACTTGCAACGAATCACGTGACTCGACAAACCTCTTTAGTTTTAACTTCTACTCCTAATATGAAGGCAATTAAATCAAAAAATGGGTCCAAAGCTCCGCCAGAGAAAAGGAGACGAAACATTACTAAAAAGTTACTTGAAGAAAAAAATTTTCCTGATAACTCAAGATGATGAAGAAGACTGTCCATGCATATATTGCGATGATCTTTTTTCCCGATCTAAGCCTGGAGAAGACTGGTTACGGTGCATAAATTGTTTCCGTTGGGCTCACGCTTCTTGCGCTGACGTTTCTAAAAGAGCCAAGCGTTTCATTTGTAAACTTTGTCAGTAATTTTATAGTTTTTACGTGTATGTCATTTTGTCCATAGTGGATGATCTCGATTAAACTAACAATATTTTTTTCCTATTATTTTAATATTGTAAATGTTTAGTATATTTCATAGGTAAAAAACCAAAGATGATTGGTGTAGAATATGACAGTGCTGTGATTTACCAATAAAGAGTTATGAACCTAAAATAAAACCGTATGTCATTTTGTCCGTATTTCCCCTACTAATCAGCGTATAAAATAATTGATTAACTGTTGTCTGAAATCCTGATAAGAAAAGGGTGATTACGCAATCATCTAATTCCGCTTTTGTTTAACATTCAAACTTTAAGTCCCTTCGCACTTGATTTCTTTAGATAGAAAATCCATTCTTTTGGACAACTGAGGGCTATTCACAAGGAATACCTGCCGAATAAGTGATTTCTAGAGTCTTACCTACTCCGTATCGCCGGCTAGCCCTTCACACAATTAACTGCCTGAAAGTTTATAACATTTACAATCTTTATAATACCAATACTTTCGTCTGTTCTACTTATTTGACAAGAGCAATGAAGACCGAAACTATGAAAATTGCTTGAGACCATGATATTATTGTTTATAATTACAATACGAACCTCAATTCGGGATCCACAACGGTTGTCAGATCGTCTACAGCACCCATTTTACACGTTCCTACGGGATGATAAATAGTGGCAGTTAAAGTTCTAAGCACGCATTCGAGATATTCATCGCTGAGTCTTAAAAATCTTTCGCATCCTGGAACAGGAGTCGAATATAATCGAGATCCGAACTTTCTAAAAGGTTTCGATTCACCAATTTGTATCGTTATTTTCATTGCTGCAACGTTAAATTATTATTACATTTCTAATTTATAAGATTAATATAACATTGTACAATTTTAAATATAGTAAAAAGCTTTACAATTTTTTGTAATAAGAAATATTAGTCCATGTTAACGCTTTTCTTGTCAAACAAACCCTTTTATTTCACAAACAACTGTCTAATTGTCACAACTGCTGATTATTAGACTGCAATTTATAAAATAAAAGTGTTTGACATGGCAAGCATTGATAATTTGTTACAGAAAAATTAGTAAATTTAGTGCTACAACGTAGTTTCTTAAATGAAAATCGATAGTAAAATGTTTAAACGAGTGACTAAATAATGTGTACTATTCATCGCATCGAAAGTTTACAAAAAGAAATTTTAATAAATTTCAGTTGAAGCTTTAACTTCAAACTTATTTCCACATAAAAATACAATCAATATAATGAATCAAATATATAATATATTTAAATGACAAAAGGCGCACAGAACAATTTTATTATCGCCTAAATTTTTACCTTGACTATAATGCATTGTATAGTCCGTTAATAATATTTTTTAACCAAATATCTGATTTTCACAGAATTTAGGATGTTATTTATTTTTCTATAACAGGTTTTTAAAAAAGATATACGATGATTTTATAGAATTCGATAAAAAAAATTTGTTATCTCCTGATGATAAAAAATCAAATATAAATTTTGTTGTAATAGATCTGCAATATGCTTCCTGCCGACTATTAGAATATTTAAATGACTATAAAATGCTCTTTTAGTTTAATATATTTATGTTATATAATTTCTTTATATTATACAAATATTAAATATCCAAATGAAATTTTCGAAACAAAAAAAAATTCTCTACTTACCATCTATAAGTCTCAAGACATCTTGTGGATGAGATAAATAATTCGGTTGGATAACAGGATGATCGTAGGGATTAGTGCTTCTGAGTTTTACATAACCTCGACTTTTTGGATGAATTAAAGTAGGATATATGGTGAAAACATCCCGATTTAAAATAGGCCCATAATATAATTTTCTAACCTAAATCCGAAAAGAAATATTTAATTTAAAAATTAATAGACTAATAGTTGAAAAAGTATCATACGGTGGTCGAATGACGAAAACTGCAAAACAACAACCTTACACCATAAACAGTACTGTACATAAATATTTATGGGTAGATTAAACAAGATAAAGCGAGTTCCAATCAGGTCTAAAATAATAGCGATAGAATAGTCAAAGGATCATTATTCTGTTGCTGTTATTTTCTCACTGTCACTCTTTCTTGTCGGAATCGTGCTTCGTTCTGCATCTTAATCTATACGACCTATAAGCTATTGATCGTCATTGGTATGGTTACTGAATAAATATGTAGTAAGACGAATAATATTACTAATTATAACTGAATATTCGTAAACATTTGTTACTGAATAAATGTAAAGACGATATTATCTATATTATGGCGTGGAAAAAAGTTAGAACACTACTTATAGTGCTGTCGTAAATCCGGAAAGACTCGTGACTTAAACTTTAATAATTAAACAGAAATAATATTTTATAAAACACGTTAAGAAAAACCCATTTATATTTAATGAAAAAAAAAATTCCAGTAACGAGTTGCATAACTTTCCCGGAAAAAAATGTTGAAATCGTTGTGACGCCATATGTTAGAGGTTTTATTTTAAAAGTTTTTATATTATTAATTACTATAAAATGGCAAAAAATAATCTTAAATTTCAGGAAAAGGATGGGTTTTATTCAAAAGGTAATGGTAAATATCAATAAAATGTAAATTCTTCATTTAAAGTCTGCAAGTCGCCCTTCTATCTTTCTACCCCTTGACCTTTAATCACCAAAATTTAATAGAATCAATCCTCTTAATACGCAAACCTACCTCTAAAATTTCAGAAATTTTCAACAAAAGTTATTAAGCTTCAAAGTGGGTGAACAAAATCAGGCTCCAACACAAACTAATATCCATACATAAAGGAAAACAACATTCAATTTTCTGCCTTTCTCGACATTTTAAAGTCGAGTCCAAAAACGTGAAAATCTCGGGGAAACTTTTTAGACGCCTGTCATAAATTCAACAAGATCTACAACAATGAAATAGTAAAAGACAAAACTCAATACAACTGGAACAACCTACCAATGCAAATTGCTGAGCTAATTTTATCCAATATTTATAATCCAATATTTATAAATACAGTATATATTTTTGGTTAAGAGAAAAACATATGATTCTTATGCGTCTTTACGTCTCTAAAAGTACTTTTAAATATGTGTATGAAATTAACAATAAATATGATTCAATAAATATAAAATAAAATTTCAATACTTGACTTGATTATTTATGCCAAAGGCTGGAATAAAAATTTCTCCTCCATCAGAAGTCAGACTGCCAGTTACAAAATACAGTTCGATATCTGGATAATCATCAGAAGAATTCGCAAAACGGGTATTGATGAAAGCCAAACCTTCGACTCCACCTAATGTGGTCCACGGACCTATAAAAGCGGTTTCTTTATTATATTATTTAAACACTGTTGTCTGTTCAAATAAACATATCAATAAAAGTCTTACCAGAACCATATTTGAAATAACGTAGAGCATTGAATGGAGTTAGAACACGGTAGGCGACGATAGCAACTGGTTTGTCAATTAAGAAATCCATTCCAAGAGGAAAAATGTGATCTTGAAGATTAAGGCCTACTGGAAGATCTGACACGACTGGAATCTGTATGATAATAATTAGTTGATAATTTGTTATTCGATAAGACGTACAGATAAGAGCTTACGTGTTAGCTAAAATTAGTAAAAATTGAAAATTACTATTCTATATGTAGTCAGCCAGATGACTGTGCTTACAAATATTAGTGTTTTTACCGTGAGGAATTTCAATAAAGTATTAGATTCTGACTCCTTAAGTTATGATAGATTTAGACTGGGACATGGTCCTCTATGGCTGCGTCATTGTGGCCTATCCCACTGCTTTTTAAATACTTTTGTAATTCGCAATATTGAGACCGGACACTTAGTACTTATACAGTGCGACTGTAAAGTCAATTCGCAGTGGGCGGGAAAACGGGAGGTACTTTCAGGAACAAAGTAATGTTGCCACAAGCAGACCGCGCAAGACCAACGAGAAGGATAGGGCAGGGAGCAATTTTATCACGTGAACAACTTATTTCTGTGCAGAATGTCTCTCGTGCTGTGTTTTTCAATACTTGTATACTCGAATTTCAAAAAATTAATTTAGATTCAGAGAAAAGAAATAATTGCAAGTTTTTATAGCAGTTTCGTTTTAAAAATTTTTTACTGGTTTTATAAGTTTATAACATTATATAATATCTTAAATTAGAAGTTAATTTGTTTGTTTGTTTGTGTATGTATGTGTGTATGAGTGAGTGTGTTTGTGTACAATGTACTTTAAAAAAATATAATTATAAAGTAATAATGGTACCGTAATAATTATTGATATACATATATATATTATATTACATAAAATTTTTCAAAATGCCAAGGTGTTGTAGTGTCAGTGGCCGTAAAACCAATTATAGAATTGAAAAGGAAACTTTTCCTATTTTTTTCTTTACAAGAAGAGCCACTGAGATTATATTTGACTGAGAAAAATTCCTACAGATCTGAGGGGATTAAAAATTTCTGTAATATGTATAAAACATTTTGAAGAGTCAAATATTATTATAACTGACTAAAATGCCTAGTGATAGGTCAGCTAAAAAATTTCTAAAAAAAATTCCGAAATTAAAAGAAGTAGCCAAATTTACTTAAATATTTAAGTAGTGTAGGAAATACATGTAAAAGGTTTGCAGATGTAGAAGAGAAAAATCTTCACAAAGCAATAAAACAAAATCTTTTGTGTGTGAAAAATACAAATTGGATAGAGCCATCAGAAATCTTCAAGACCAATATTGCAACACATTACAAAGTAAGAATCCAGGAA